AAAAAAAAAAAAAAAAAAAAAAAAAAAAAAAACTTCAATGTGTTTTGGCAATACTGGCAGAAAACGACTGTTATCAAAATGGAATAAACCAATTTGTGTCCAAATATAAAACTAGCTACACCCCATAAATCTAGAGCTTTATGTATATGCAACACAAAATATATGCTCAGAGTTTTATATTACTACTCCTGGATGTGAAAATCGTGTTTAAAAAGAAATTTTTACGATTTATTTAGTAACAACATGAAGTATCTATACTAGGGTGCTTTGAGTTACTTCCCTTAGAATTGGAGAATCATAGACCTGGACATTAAAGAATTTAAATCCCAATTTTGCTACTGTTTTGATGACTCCATTATTACGGGCTTGAGTAAGAACAGATGTGGGGTGTTGTATAAAGAAAAACAGAATTTTACATTCATAATTTTCCACTATTCCACTTCTTAAGTTATGGTTGAGACAGTATGGAGTACAGTTTAGTGTATATTTTTAAAAATAAGCTATTATTAACTTTTTAAAAAAAATTACATTGTCAAAGACTTCTAAAAATACCTAAGCCTTTAAAGATTATTGAGCATTCAGTTATGTGACTGCTGCCATCATGTGGTAATGCTGTAAAACTACAGTTATAAGTACACGTACTCCTTTTCCTAATTTTAGTAGCACAAGCAGTTAAACTATTATCAAATTAAGAATAAATAAAAGCCTCTCAGTTGTAACATTCAATATACACAAGAATGCTATAAAATCACTATAAATAAAAAATCACTATTGGGCTGCTACTTTTCTCTAAATGTGAAATGTCATAGTTAATACTGCTGTTTATTTTAGTAATCTGAAGAACACCTTTTTGCAAATCTAGTATGTAACTAAGGAAACAAATGTTAAAAGTTCTCCTGACATTAGACAAATACATAAAAAAATGGTGATCCTAACTGCCCATATGAATTTTGATCATAGTTAACCACTTCAATTTCTTAATTACTTTTGTTGGTGTTTCATCCAAATGGGGTCTGATTTTAGTTTTGGGAAGTACCACAGTAGAGACAGCATGAGATTATTAACCCAAAAGGAACTGGCATCAAATTACTACTCAGACACTTACTAACTGTATAACTGAGCAAAGTCACTAAACCTACTCTTCAGTCTCAGCTTGCTATGGTATGAAAGTGGAAATCCCATTACCTTTCTCACAAGGTTGCTGAGAATCAAAACAAATTATATTTAGCATAGTGCCTGTCACCCAAGCTCTCAACTCCTACTTTCCATACTTTTCATTTCAAAGTGCTAGTCAAGGTGCACTAGAATATGAATTCCTTAAGGACAGGGAGAGTGTCTTATTCACTTTAGCACCAACTTCTGTTGTAATAAATTGCTGAATGAATGCATTTCATCACACCTGCTTGAAAATACCCTTTTAACCACCCCTCATCACAATCACTACCTTCATGTTTTATTTAACGAACTAGAATAATACATAGTCTTAGATTAATTATCAAGAAAACCACATACTTCAGTGTGCAGTTAAACTGTAGACTTATGAGTGGGATAGGTCACTTAGATACTATAAAGTCTTGCTACTCAAAGTATGGTTTGCAGACCCGAAGCATTGACAGCATTTGTTAGTAATGCAGAATCTCAGATGTAGATGCACACTTAAGACCAATCAAAGCGGATTCTAAATTTTTTTTTTTTTTTTTTTTTTGAGACGGGGTTTCCGCTTTTTCTCTTTGTTTGGAGTGCAGTATTGTGAACACAGCTCACTGCCACCTCAACCTCCTGGGCTCATGCGATCCTCCCACCTCAGCCTCCTGAGTAGCTGGGACCACAGGTACGCACCCCCAGGCTTGGTTAATTTTTTTACTTTTTGTAAGGACAGGGTCTCACTGTGTTGCCCAAGCTTGTCTCAAGCTCTTGGACTCAAACAATCCTCCTGCCTTTGCCTCCCAAAGTGTTGAGATTACAGGCAAGAGCCACTGCGCCAGGCCCCTTGATCTTATTAATATAACATGTTAGTGTGAATTAGTTTCTCAAAATAGTTCTAAAAGCTATCTGAAAGCAGATTATGAGGTGGGAGAGGGCAAGGAGGGAATGGTAGAAATTGGGCATAGAAGGCAGGCCTTAGAGGATGGTATAACAGTCACTTGAGGCTGGAGGTGTGAGGAACATAAAATGGGTAGATACTAAGAAGGAGATGGCAGGACATTTAAATGATTCATTCGTTTGACAAAACTAAACATCTACCGTGCTGGGCAAAACTAAACATGACTAACATCGTCACTGCCTCAAGGAGGTCAGTCTAGTGAAGGATGAGGGCATGTAATATCCTATCTCACTACGCAAGTCTGGTAATTATTATAATCAAATATATACAAAGAGTTAAGGAAGCAGAGAAAAAAAAAATATCTGCGGAAGTCAGCAAAAATTCCACAGGTAATGTCTGAATTAATATTAAAGGAAGACTTTACTAGGAGGAAATAGAACTCCTGGCAGAAAAAAGTTTATACAAAGTTACGGAGTCAGGAAAGAGTACAGTGTATTTGAGAGGAGCTACAAGATTTGATATGGCTAGAGCACAGAATACATGTAAGGAAAAGGTCAAGGTTAAGGGAGCAAAGGAACCAGATCATAAAAGGCTTTGTTTGCTAGGCTGAGGAGCTAGAAGTTTCTTCCTAATGGCAATTGGGGAAAAAAATCAATAGAAGACTTAGAATGTTAAGTGAGAGAATACTAGATCTGCATTTTTAGAAAGATGACCCCACAAGAGATATAAAGGAGCAGTGGGACCACAATGTCAGCTTAAAGGCTTTGCAACAGCCCATGTGAAAACTGAGGAGGACCCAAATCAAGGAACTGTCAGGGAGAATATGGCACAGGGGACTGATAGAAGAGGTACTTAAGAAAAAGAACTGACAAAGCCCAATAATAACCAATTAAGGATGATGGGAGTTGTAACTGATTCTCATCCTAGACAGCCTGGTACGCTTCTCTTCATTATCAAAGGCTTTGTTCAAGTTCTCATTATTTTTCACCATGCCTTTATATTACAATTATGCCCCTCATTCATCCTGTCTATCAATAAATGTTAAGGAAGTCTTTCTGAAATACAATTCTGATCATAAAAATCCTTCAATGGGCAACCCATTGAAGAACAGTACAAACCTGGAAGAACAGTCCAAATTCCTTAATATTCAAGTCCCAGTCAGCCAGGATTCAAAAGTACTCTTCTAATCTGTTACCACTATTGTATCACTCTCTTCCCCTCCCACTGAAATCCTGCCTGCCTGCCTCTTTTTCTCACGCCCAACTGTTTTCATCTATTCTCAGTATGCTACCCCAGGTCTTCAACCTCGAACTGAGAGACTGCCTATACTTTTGATTTTGCAATCCTGGAGTACATTTAAATTAAACCTACTGATTCATCCATAATTGAAGCTGGATCAAAGAAATCAGGCTTCAGTTCTGTTCTCTCTCGTCTGTTCTTTGATGGTGGCTAAAGGAAAAAAGGAAATAAGTTGACATTAGCTATATCTACAAACCAGATAGTAACTCAAAATATCCAAGTTAAGTGTTCACATGGCCTATATGATTGTAAGTGTACCTCATACAATATTTTAAATACTCATGGAAAATTGTCCTGAGAGACAAAAACCAAAAAAACTCATTTTTCCTTTTACTTTAAAAATCACTCTCTCGGCCGGGCGCGGTGGCTCAAGCCTGTAATCCCAGCACTTTGGGAGGCTGAGGCGGGTGGATCACGAGGTCAAGAGATCGAGACCATCCTGGTCAACATGGTGAAACCCCGTCTCTACTAAAAATACAAAAAATTAGCTGGGCATGGTGGTGCGTGCCTGTAATCCCAGCGACTCAGGAGGCTGGGGCAGGAGAATTGCCTGAACCCGGGAGGCGGAGGTTGCGGTGCGCCGAGATCGCGCCATTGCACTCCAGCCTGGGTAACATGAGTGAAACTCCGTCTCGAAAAAAAAAAAAAAAAAAATCACTCTCTCAAACCATTTTCCTTTCAAGGCACTAAATTATACCATTCTAAAAATTTAATTATTTCTTTAAGAAGAATACACCATAGTTTACTAAAAAGAATGAGAAGACTTGACTTAGAGTATCAACTTTCCTGTTCACTAGTTTTGCCTTGGGGAGAGTAAGCTTTAAAATCCTCAATCCTCTCAACCTACCTCACAAAGTTGAATGAGATATGTAGCAAAATGAAATATACAGAACCATTATGTATATGATTAGCCCTAATCACATAATTATTAATAAAGAATATGCTTCTGCATTATTTAACTTCCTTCGAAGTTTAAGTAATTTTACTTCATTATCTGACATGGAATTTGTCTCAACAGGTAGTATTAAGTTAATATACTGTTTTAATAATGGTAAATAAATAGAAAGTTATGAGGTGATATACTTTTATACTAACTCGTATTTTTTAAAATGCATAATCATTAAATAATGGATTTTCATAGTCAAATTATTATTAATCAAAATATACCCTTTAAACCTATATATTCCTAAATATTTTTTTTTTTTGAGACAGAGTTTCGCTCTTGTTACCCAGGCTGGAGTGCAATGGCACAATCTCAGCTCACTGCAACCTCCGCCCTCCGCCTCCTGGGTTCAAGCAGTTCTCCTGCCTCAGCCTCCCGAGTAGGTGGGACTACAGACATACGCCACCATGCCCAGCTAATTTTTTTTTTGTATTTTTAGTAGAGACGGGGTTACACCATGTTGACCAGGATGGTCTCGATCTCTTGACCTCATGATCCACCCGCCTCAGCCTCCCAAAGTGCTGGGATTATAGGCGTGAGCCACTGCACCCGGCCTATATCCCTAAATTAACCTCAGAAGCAGACAACCTTTATCATCTTAATCTAGGATCTACCACCTTCACCAACCTTACTCTCTTCTAAATCCCCTCCCATATACCTAAACCCCTGGCAACTATTTCACTTAATATTTTCACAAAACTTATTTTTCTTGCTAAGTATTTCTCTACTCTAATAAATATTCAACGTGATTTTCAAAAGATCTAAATTGAAAATCTTACAGAAATCCTTAGGTTTCTTACCAAATCTATATCCATGGTGTCAAAATCCATTCCCTCATTAAGATCCTCAATCCTCCCTTCTGAGGACATCATAACATCTTCAACAATTGGCTCTTCATCATCTTCCATTAGACTTGTGCCACGCCGACTAGAGAAATATAAAACAAAGTCAAGATCTGAACTAATGTAATGACTATTAATATATAGGCAGCAGTATGTGGCTCCCTATATTCAAGTATAATGGAAAATGGTGGAAATAAAGGTCAGGGAGAATGATTAGGCATTGATTATGTCATCAATGATGTCAAAACCCCAATGTTCACTTGTCTAAAAATGCTAAGGAATTACGTTTATTCTACATTACTTCAGTACATTTAGCTTTATAGTTCTGATATCCCATATACAAGGTTCAATGAGAATTTCCCACATGGGGACATACAAGATACCTCAAATCCTTTTTGAAAGTAGGCAGGGTACAAATTAATAAACAAACATAAAACAGAGACCAAAAAAATGACATTTTCAGAATACATATATTTTCATCAATATATAATACTAATTTTACCCATCACTCCCTCATTCATTTAGTACGTAATGTGTACCACTCATGTGCACACTCACACACAATGCCTACTACGTGACAGGCTTCTATTGTATCCTATGGATGCTTAAAAAAAAAAATGAATAAGACTAAGACATGATTCCTGCCCTCAAGGAGCTTACAGTCTACAATGGTAAACAGAGATAAACAATTAATTATGACAAAATGTGATAAATATTACAACAAAACAAGGCATCAAGTATTATAAAGATATACTAAAGGGATTAATTCTGCCACAGGAAGAAAGGAGGAACACTCAGGCTGAAACTCAATTCATGTGCCCTATGAAACTCAATACTAAGACATATATAGAAAAGCTCTCTATGTTATTACATAATTATGGGGAATAAATTAAGTTCACAAATTAGCCCAGATAAGCATAAAGTAGCCAATATAATAGTGAAATTTAGTATGACTTGTTTTTCCCCAGTTTGGCCAACATTACCTTCTTTTCTCATCCAAAGACACCCCCACAGTCAAGAAAATTGCCAAAACTCCAGCAATTATTCACTGAATGCTTACAATTTACACAATACTATACTGGTTCTTAAAAGATATAAAGATAACAAGATATGATGTCTGATCCATGTTACCTGGACAAATATGTTTATAACGGTCATTATTTCCTAACAATTCTGGATAGAAAGACAATTTTACTATATTTTGTGGAGGCAACCGTGAAGGAAATATATGGGCTGTATGGACCATGTGACAGAAAAATCAGAAAGCCATTCTGAATTTTGTTTGAAGTACAAGGAAGATATATGTGATTTAAGCTATGAAAAATAAGAAAGATAATCTAGAAGTATTTTTAGTTATAGGGCAGATACCATTATAGAAAAATCATTGTTAAGATGAAAATACTTTAGCATCCCAGGCAATAGATGTCTTATAGTACAACCACCAAAGAATCCTCTGGTAATAAGTTATTTAACTAAGATAATTTCTTGTAGTTGCCAGGGGGGAGATTAACTATAATTTGGAATTAAAACAAAACTGCAAACAAAAGAATAATGATAAATGGTACTCAGTAATGAGATGCTATAGAGAATCTTAGGAACCCATGTAATGTTTTATGGGGAGAGATATAGACCAAATGATTGCATGGCAGAATTCTGGAATTTATGGACTGGTGACTAGTTAAAATCCAAGAAATTAGTTGTAGGATCCAGCATAAAATAAGAACTTATATTAAAAGGAATGTGGCCACAAAAACAGAGAAAAGGGGATAGAAGCATGTGATAATATAGATGATGACCATGTTAACCAAGTCAGGATGACAATCTATATGTATAAGAGAGTAAACCTTGTGGCTCCAGAGGTTAAGACCACTATGGCGGTAACTAAAGTAAATTTACGCAGGCCACCAGTCACAGTGAATGATCATTTTATAAGAAAAACAGGTAAAATTCTTATCTAAAAACCAACAAAACAGAACAAAATATAAATTTTTAAAAAAAGAGGGTAACAACTACTGCCTCCCAATAGTAAAACTTATACATTATAAATACAATGCTTTCAAACTCAAAAACTTAATCAGAATCATCACATTTTTCCCTGTATACCAATCAAGACATTTTAAAAAATTATCTAAATACTGCTTGTCTGCCACTTGTTCTGGAACCAAAGCTAATGAAGATTGCAAAAAGATTTATAAAGTTATCATACATAATCCAGTAAAAACGAAGTATTTAAAAGGTAAACTACATTTTTTTCAGCACTGAACATTTATTCATCCAATGAACATTTACTTAGCACCTTTTATGTGCCAAGCACTGACAGGCAATGAATGTGGTCCCTGCCCTTGAGGAGCTCACAGTCTAGACAAAAGGGACAAACTCATAAACAAATATTTACAATACAACATGGCAAGTTCTATAAGAAATATGGATATACATAGTGTTATGGGAGTATAGATGACCAAAGCTTCAGTTAAGGTGACACCTGAACTTGTTCTTTTATGATGATTTTACCAGCTGCCAGGGAATAGGAAATGATACTAAAATGTAGGCAGGGGCCATATTTTGAAACATCTTGCATGCCATGAGCTAAGGAAGTCTGGAGTTTATCCAGCAGGCAATAGGGAGCCACAGAAAGGTTTTAAGTAAGAGTTACATGGTAAGATTTTTATTCTAGAATAGTAATTCTTGATGGCGGTGTGAATGATGGAGTCGGGGGAGGGTGAAGGGAAAGGTTTGGTGAGAAGATAAATGGGAGATTTGAGGGAAGAAAACCAGTTAGAAAGCTAATACAATAGTTCAGGTGAGAGATGAGGGCCTGAACTAAGTCGGGAAAATCAATTAGGACGTAACAGAACTGTATTTTTAATGCTGTGTACCAAAATAAACAAGGATTGATTATTTAAACTTTTCCAACAGATCAACCTAAGATTGGTCCTTTGGCTAACTAGGTAATATTTAAATTAAAATATTTTGTTTTTCTGTTGGAAAGACCAATTTTTAGTTCCTTGATTATTTCAGCTTAAGTTACTCTAGAGAGTTTGCTGAAATTTTTAAATAAGGCACACATTAAAATGTTAAAATGAATTAGTGAACTTCCTAGACTCAGACAATAAGGCACTCTCACTTACATGGCATGCTGAAGATTAGTTCGCAGTTTAACATAGCTCATTGCTGCTCTCTCCTGCTGTTGCCTTGCTTCCTCTTGTTGTCTTTGAGCTAACATCCATGTTACCTGCGTGCTTCAAGGAGAATTTTATTCTTCTTTTAACTTAACTTTTTCTATGTAATTAATAAAGTTACAGTACAGAAAATGTACAAATGTACTTACTTATAATCAAGAGGAGTTTGATGATGTTCAGTCTGCATTGGATAGACACTCATGAAGCTATCCTCAGGCCGTAATCTTTTGGGCTCTCTCATAATAGTGGAGGTGAGCTGTGGTGTCTGCATCATAACAGGGGTGTGCAGTGTTTGTTCTCTGCTTAACCACATACTATCACTACTACTACTTTCTTCAGCTGGAAAAGAAAATTAACAACAATGAGGTTTAGTCACTAATTTTGACTATTCAGATATCTAATACAACCTGTTCAGATCAATAAACATCTGTTGCTTTCCACATGCTAGTCATAGGAACAGGGGAACAAAAACCTAAGGGGCAGTCCCTGACCCGGCCATAGAGTCTAGTTGTAAACAAAAACAACCAGGCAATTAAAACACAATGCGGTGGCCGGGCGTGGTGGCTCACGCCTGTAATCCCAGCACTTCGGGACACCCAGATGGGCAGATCACCGAAGGTTGGGAGCTCGAGACCAGTCAACATGGAGAAACCCCGTCTCTACTGAAAAATACAAAATTAGCCAGGCATGGTGGCACATGTCTGTAATCCCAGCT